AAATAACAATCAATTTTTTTTAAAATGTTTTGTAAATGTGGTTGTTTAATTTCTTATCCAAAAGAAGTGGATGATCAATTAATTTGTAAAAGATGTTTCAATAAGTTAACATACACTGATAATATTATTTATGAAGAATCTGTTTTTACTCATAATAATACTATTGAGAAAAATAATAGAAATGAAGGTATAATTAATGAAATATGTCCTAATTGTAATCATAATCAATTATCTTATACTACTTTACAATTAAGAAGTGCTGATGAAGGTCAAACTGTATTTTATACTTGTTTAAATTGTAAACATAAATTTACAATCAATTCTTAAATTTTTTATAAATTTTTTAATAATGAAATTCATCACTCGCTTCTTTTTAATTACCTTGTTAATTTCTTTAATTATTCAATTTAAATTTAAAATTTACTTCTTTATTCCTTTAATAATGTTAATTATACTATTTGGAGTGTTTATTGTGTGTATTTCTTTTCATCAAGCTATCAATCAAAAAACTACTGAAAAATCCTTTATAAAAGAATATGAAAATTTAATAGAGAAATTTAAATAAACTTTTTATTAAAAAGTTTAATTAGAAATGAAATTTTTTATTTATAAAACTATCTTTTTTACTTTCTCTGTTTCTTTTGGTCTTTCATTAATTCTTTCTCCTTCTTTAATTTCTCCTTCTTCTTTCTCACTTTCCTCTTCGTCTTCTTCGTTAAACAAATCGATTTCTATTGGTTTTTGATTGCTTATACTTTTATTATAATTAGCACCCAAATAAAACAGTAAAATTATCCATACAAATATAAAACCTGATGAAAACAACAGTGTTATTGGTGCTATCCCCCTCGGACTGATATCTTTAAATACAGCATTTGCCATTATTGAATAAACTGATCCTCCTGACTTTCCTACTTTATTAAAAATTCCATCATAAATAGACTTAAATTTTGGTCGATATCTCTCTTCTATTCTCATTGAAATTTTCTCCTTTGTTACATCAAATGATGTGTATTTAAAGATCTTTATACCTGCCATTACTAACATTCCTCCATAGTTTTCTAGTGTGTAAAAGGCTGTCCTTCCGCTAAACATGCTATTTATAAATGAAAATGAATTTTCTTCTGTTGCTGAATTATATGTTCCTAATCCGAGTATAAAAACTACTCCAAATATTGCTACTGATGGT